GGGTAATTTGATGGTTATTCCCTTCTCGCCTATGATTAAAATTATATTTCATATAATTTTATATCGTCTTAGCATCTAGTTACCAAAACAAGAGATAGGAAGACAGGAAGAACGAAGGGCAAATTTAGCCTGACACAGCTACTGCCAGTGCTGTCAGTTTAGCCGATGCATGTATCAATAGCTGTTCTGAACGCGTTAATTCAAGTTGCGGTAGTTTCAAAGCGAGTGTATTTATGTAGCACTAATTTCTGTTATTGACCCCAAATCATCAAGAGAGACTAACTTGGTGGGATTCGATTCCTTCTGTTTGCCAAGCATTGCGCAATCTGGCCCTCTTATGCCATAATATGTGCTGCATTTTGGTACTGCTTTGCTCAGTTTGTGTTGTGTTCGTACAATTAGTAAATAACAACGCCCACGAAAAGCAAATTATATATTCTATAATATAATTTTTTGCAAGAATTTGGCAATTCGGCGTTAATTTTGCCATAAAAAAGGACTAATCTGGCACAAAATGCTATTTTGGAACAGGCTGGTGAAAAGGTTTTGCGCGATTTTGCCTTATCGGCATAAATATTGCAAAACAATGGCAAAACGTCAACTACTAGTTAAAAAAATAGCACATCTCCAAGAAAATTGCCGCAAGCGAAGCTTTGATAAGACACCAATATATTTACCAAGACTTAATGGTAAAAATTAATAAAATAACCCAGTTTTCTGCCACGGGGTAATTAAAAGAACTCATGGTTAATGTTGATTATTTGCCAAAACAATGAATATTATATCTTTTTGTGGTACCTAAACACCAAAAATGTTGACATCTTTGCCAAGTTAGGAAGCAATTGGTACAAATATCGGTCACTTCGAGAAATTTTTCCAATAATTCTCAAGGATTCAAAAGTATATGGAAATTTCAGTGTACCTTGTGCATACACACAATAAAGGAACATGGAAATTTCCATGCACCTTATAAGAAATGGTACAAGGAAATATCCATGTTCTTTATGCATACATACAATCATGGTACATGGAAATTCCTTGAAGCACTACACGTAAGAATTTCCATGCACCCTATGACTACACATGAGAAACAAAGTACAAGGAAATTTCCATGTACCCTGAGCATTCGCGTACAGCAAAAGTACAAGGAAATTTCCATGTACCTTATGGCCAAACATAACAAAACGAACATGGAAATGTCCATGTACCTTATGGTTACACATAACAAAAGGTACAGGGAAATTTCCATGTATCTTATGGCTACATACAGGATATGGCACCTGGAAATTTCCGTGTATCTTGTGATACACATCGACAAGTATTTCCCTATAATCCATTTCTCACGTAAATGTTAGGAACTATAAACTCTAAAGACAGCTTGAAAATTACTAAATAATTGAATACTTCTAATTAATCGCCGGAACAATATATCACTATGGAACAACACTACATAGTACAAAGCCCTGGCTTTCAAAGACGTCTCTTTTTGAAATAGTTTTGGACATGGAATTTAAAGAAACAAAATACATCATTGAGTACATACAAAATGTAAATCGTAATGAAGCGTCTTTCAACTGAACAAATGATAATTGAGATATTCCTTTTGTCAGGAGTGTGCTGTATCGTGGAACGAGGAGGTGCAATTATCCGTTTCAACATATAATTGTCGTGATATCGTTAATCTGTCACTCAATCCAGAAAAACCCTCTGAAAATACAATGAGGTAATACGTTTGAGCTTCGAGAAGTTTTACGGCATGAACCTATTGGTAAGGGGATTATCTGCATTTTCAACTCAAAAGAGCAATATATGAAAGGCCAATGAGCCTGAGAAATGTTTCATTATCGCCATAGAAACTTCCATACACATTTTCTGTGCAGAAAGGTACATGGAAATTTCCTAGAACCTTTACATGTGTTGTGCATGAAGGTACATAGAACAAAGCGCGCCACCAAGAAGATTATGAGCCAAATTTATCTCACTGTTTTTTTTTTTTTCCTGTGGTACCTGTGGAAGAAACAATGCTCTTTTAAATAGATTTTACCACATGGAGTCCAACCGGATAGCTTCTTAGTTAATAGGTCTCTTGGTTTGTGACCGGACCAATAAGACCAATTTATTCATATCCTTGTCATCTACAGTTAGGTTACTATTACAGCTAGTGGAAACGCTTATTTGACTTAAGAGTTACAGCACATAAACCATTATGTTACCATGCGCAAGTTTAATGACTTGTTATTTTATAGTAAGCCTTCAACGCTAACACTGAAAAAATTTCAGTGTACCACCATATTTACATCTTCATCGTTGAACTAACTGCAATTTCGGTTTGTGAACGTGATTGAAACTGTTTTTGTTGTTATTCTTGTTGTTGTTGTTTAGTGTGGTTATTGTTATTGTTGTTGTTGTTGTTGTGATTGTCCTTGTGCTTGTGGTTGTGGTTGTTTTTGTTGTTGTGGTGGTGGTGGTACTGGTTGTTGTTGCACGTGCTGAAAGCACCTGAATAAACCTCTCAATGCTCTTCGCATTTCCTTATTACGACCAAAGTTCAACAAAGGATTCAGGAATCCATTCACAGTGTAAAGGATGAAATAATAAGGGCGATAAGCCCCAAAATTTTCCACTCCTTTCATTGTTAAAACTACAGGCGACCAGAAAGCTGGCATGAACGTTAACAACAATACCAGCAGGATCCATCTGATAGTGGCCGCTTATTTCTTTTCTCTCTTCATCACCACATGTATCTCCCTTATTGTGTCTATTGGCTGTTTCTTAAAATATATACCAAGATGACTAAAAATGATGATTATGAAACAAATACAATAATACACGAGGAAGGCAGCACCGTGCACAAGACTCATGAATCCGCTGTCAAACTTGTAGATAACGTAAAACACGTGTCCAAGTATTAAAACAACACTGATTAACCAAGGTATACAAGACATCTTAATGGCACGTGATTTGGTCACGTGATTACGATACCAAAATGGCTTTGTCACTGCCAAATAACGATCTCTGCTGATTACTGCTAAAGTGCCAAGGGTTGCTCCGGTGCACAGGGTATACGTAATGGTGTCTTTGAGTCCCATATTAGCGAGACACAGATGTTCGATGAGTACGGTTTTTATATTCACGTACAAAGAAAACTGAGAATATATCAAATCAGTGACTGACAAGCTACACAGCATCAGCAGTGACGGACGTTGAAGAGATTTAGTTCGTGCTACAGTGATGCAGATAAGTGCGTTAAAAACCAATGACATGACGGCCAACAGCATGTCCAGCGGTCGCACAACATAGTTAGCCATGTCTCGCACTCGATGCTGGATTTCTTCTGGAAGGTTCGGGATCAGGCATTCTTCATAAGGAAAGCGGCTGAAGTTGTTTGAAATCATGTTTTTTCCTAAAATAGTAAATGTATCATTAAAAAATCATAAGAACACTTAATAGGTCTCCGAAATTAATTTTGTTAATGTTAACTCTACCTTATCTTTTTGTGCCAAGACATTTATAAGGAGTCGTTACCATCCCATCCCGGCTTTTCTTCCCAGCTAAATAATCAACAGCCGACTGTATTACCTGAACAAATAGTGCTCGCTGTGGTTACTGACTGCTGTGTCTATAGTGCCTTAAAGCTGACCAACTTAAACTTTCTAATCAGAACAATTTATGGTATTTTTCTTACTTTTGATTTAGCCGGTACACAAGAATTTATTTCTGTATTCTTCAGTGATGGGTCATTTCTTCTTTCTATGGAACTTATTTAGACGGTCTCATATACCCGAGGCAGCCCTCCCCCAAGTTACCGTAAAGGGTGAGTTAAACCCGTCACTGCTTTGTTGAAAAAGCCGTACATTCATTGAGTGACTTTCCCAGAGCTCTCTCGGGAGACGAAAGGCGAGAGGCCTG